AGTTGTCCCTTTGTTAGATACCAGTTCTCCAAGGTTAAATTCCTCATTGTACCATTAAATTATGCACTATAAGCTTACTAGAGGAAGCCTACAATTTCATACATAATATATTTGTGAAAATGTGTATGAAGGCACATCGAAATGCTGAACCTAAAAATATGGTACTTTTTTTTTTTAACAGCTTAACTTTCAGCCCATAAGGCAATTTTACCATAAAGTAAAATAATTGGTTGACAGTTGGTTTCAACTGGTTGACTGGTTTCATTCTCCTCTGAGGCTATGTTTTCATTTTTATATTATATAAATCTTAAGCCTCATACTGTTCTAACTAGCAACAAATAGACGGGGTGATATTAAAATAGTGAATGCTAACAACTGTGTACATTGACTTGATAAAAAAAATACAGTTATAGGAAAACTTACTGGAAGTGAGAAATAAGAGAGTGTAAAGCCGGATTGCATACTACACTAGAAAATGGTAACATCACTTTGCAAATCCATTAGTGAACACAGTTATCCCTACACCTAGAAGCTTACCAAGCTATGGTGAATATAAAACAGGCCGCTAATTCACAACAGTCATCCGTCCCATTAATTATCTATTCTTTGGCTAATTTAGATATAACAGCTTGTTCTCTCATGCCATCTTTACCAAATTTATCATGCAGTATTAGAAGTTAGAAGACACAAAAGAATCAAGCTCCTTCTATCCTCCCAAAAGAAATGGTTACGTGATTTCTGATGAGTGTAAGTTTCTTGCAAATGGTGAAAATTTTTGCTATTTGATAGTGGAAAATATGAGGGAGACAGAATTTTCGTATTTGTTACAGAATCTGGCTTACCTGATTTGGTGAAATATATAAGGACTAGGCATGTGATGGAACATTTTAATGTGGTCCATATATGTACTATCAGTTTTATAGGTTACATATATTGATAAGAAATAGAAGCATCCCTCAGTTCGTCATTTTACTTCAAGGGAAATTTGGAGAGACTTATAGCAAATTTTTTAATACTGTAAAGAACCTAGGCCCGACATGAGATCCTGAATCCTTAATGATCATCTTTGAGAAAGGAAGTAACACTTTTTCTCAGATGTACCCTAATAGTTATAACCATGAATCTACCTACATGTTAACTGTATTCAGATATTTTTGTATTTTAATTTTTCACAATAAAGTCTTCAAAACTTCTGTGATTATAATTTTTCATGTCTCATTGTGTCCTTTTAAATATTCCTCTTTTATTTTCATTATTTTATCTTTTTAAATTAAAGTACAGTCAGTTACAATGTGTACAGTATAATATCCCAGTCATGCATATATATATATACATGTATTTGTCTTCATATTTTTTTCCATCAACGGTTAGTACAAGATATTGAACATAGTTTCCTGTGCTATACAAAAGAAAGTTTTTATCTTTTATGGCAAAATTGCCTTGTAGGTAGATAGTTGTGCTGTGAAACTGCTTGTGGCAAAGATTCTTAAGGCGAAAATACTGCTTACAGTGGCATCACATCTGAGAGTGAAATTTTGGCTAGAAGTTTTACTGCCATTCATCAGCTATTATATAAAATGAAGTTAGGAGTATTATGCTGGAAAAATCACATGTGTGAAAGTTGCTGATTGCCTATTTACTGTTCAGTAGCCAATGTGACCAGGGACAGTACTGTCATAGTTAAAAACAACAACTATCATTGTTCTGTTTTTCTTACTATAAAAATAATACATGCTTATTGAAAGGATACTGGAAATTCAGAAATCACATATTCTATTCTTTATTCTTTTTACTATACTTGTGAAGAAGCACATTAATATCAAATTGTTTTCATAAACTTAATTCTCCATAGTGTTTTAGTTGAATTACAGATGTTGACCCCCTGGAATTTTCTGGAGTATTTTCAGTTTGCTAGTGCCAAAAATTACTGTAATTCATCTGAATTCTTTACATAATAATTATATTAAATCTTTATTCTGGTTAGTCTCTTACGTATTCTTTGTACCTGGTAGTTTTTTCAACTTATACAAGTTTAAAATATGCAATCAAATCTGTGTAAAATCTTCTGATCTTTTATCTTTTTCCGTTTTTATTTTTCAGTGCTGAAAAAGACTCCCATATATTGGGCTGATAATTTTTTCTTATTTTATGGCTTTTCTAACTCTTAAAATATCTGTAATTTAATTTGGTTTTAGGATGAGTTTCCCCTCAAAGTAATTGGCCAGTTTGTCAAAGCCAAATATTGAATAAAACTTTAAAAATTTTATTTCATTTTAAATATATTCCAGTTTTTTTCTATGTATTTGTTCTATTTATTAGAATACACATGAGCTCTATTAAGATCACACTGCATAATAATGGAGGATTTAAAATGATTGGAAGAGGAGTATTTTATTGAAATTTATTATTTATTTTCCTGTTGATTACTCTCTGAATTGTTTATAGTAGTGCAACAAAATAAGAATTTTTCTATGTTTGTTAAGTGAGCTAAGATATTTATTAGTATCACTCTCTACTCTGAGTCCAGGTGAAATACTAAGTACACCTGAGTTGATCATAAATTTAAATATTTCATTGTTATTGAGGTTTTTGCTATATAATTGTAAGCAAAAACCTGTTTCATTCAAATGTGTTAGGTACTTTTTTGCCCCACCAGTGTAGTTTTACATAATACATCTTTCAACATTTATTGCTGGTAGAATCTGACATTTTTCTTTCTTTTTCAAGGGAAAAATTTATACACAAATGAATATGTGGCGATTAAACTGGTAAGTTGATGTTTCTTATTTTTCCTAATTATTTTTTGTTATTTCTTTAATGAACATTTAAATTACTTTTTTCCATATCATTTATAAGTTGAGTGTTTATTAGGAAAGTGATATGCATAACTAATCTTTTGTTATTAGCTGCTAGCATAACTTTACTCTTCAAGTATATGATAATGTATATATAAGATGTCTGTGTCTTTTTATGTTATGAAAACAATTCCTTTACTTTGTTTTCATTATAGAATTGAATTTTTAAAATTTGGCACTATTTTTAATGTAAGGAAGCTGGCATATTGGCATTTTTAATTAGATAAAAATTAGAACACATGATTTGTCTTTTTGATTCAAGCATTTGGAGAAGGGTGTCCTTAGTATTCAGGATTATAGTATTTGAAAATGTATTTCCACATAGCTTCCAAAATCTCTTTTTCTACTGATATTTTATTTTTGGTAGAGCTGGCTATTGCTTGACCTTCAGGGATTTAGAAATGCTTAATGTGGGTGGAGAATAGCATTGCAAGCAAACTCCATTGGGACTATTTTGAAGTCCTAAATGTGCCTGGTGTGACAACTGAATAGTTGAAATCTGGGAATTTTTGTGAGACATAACTTCCTGCTGGCAAAACTTTTCTATCTGGTTTGCCAGCCAGGTTTCCTTGAGGTTAAGCATAGCTTGATTCTCCCAGCTTGCTGCCAGTCTCAATCTTGTCTTTGCCAATATAACCACTGTTATTAGGGTAAAGTGAGATTAATATAGAAATAGAGACCATTAGAGGAAGAGACAAGTGGGAGAAAGAGAAAAACTTTGGGAATGAGATACAAAACTGCTACATAATTTTAAGTATCTTTGTGAGTGTAGACTGTTTCACTGCAACAAATGCTGTTTATTTTTAGTGGGAAATAAAAATGCGCAGTAGGGTTGTGATGCTACCGGGAGAGACTGGCTGGCTGACATGTGGGTTGGGACTAGCATTTACCTAGATGAATTCGCCTTGGTTTAAGTTCTGGTCCTTGGCTTTATGACAGAAAATCTGATTGGTGGTCTCATTAAAAAGATTGTCACTGTTAATCAGAAGTGAATTCACAGTATTAATCAATTCACAATTAATCAAGCTCTCAGAGGTGTAAATATTTAGGAAAAGTTAATTTCTAATTTAAGGTATTTGATGTATTTTACTAATACAGATCCATAATGCCCAAATCAGTATAAATAATATGTTTTTAATTTTTTTCCTGTAGGGTGATCTACATAGTAAAATGCTGAGTTAAAATTACAGGTTTCCCTCATGAGTGTGAAATCAGGACAGTGGGAGTCAGTTTGTGTGAATCACAATAGGGAGGCCCGGGATGCAGGGAATGGGTATTGCTTGCGCTCATTTCTTTGGAATTCGTTCTTTTCCCTTGATCTAGGCCACTGGTTCAGGATCTAGCCATTGTTCTGTGTTGGGAGTGGGAGTGGTGCACAAGGATGGAAATGTGGCAAAGCAGGTATTCTGTGTTACTGATGCAGCAGCCTATACTCATGGGAGCATGTGAATGACACTCAACTGATACGTTAAGGCATTAATAAACCATTGTGTTAAAACAAGAGCCACTGCTCTAGGCTGACATTTACTTGACCATTTCAGTCATTAACTGGTGACCCTTAGGTTCTGTTATTTTCAGATTTGGAACTTGTTTATCCCATTGACATCTTTGATGCCTTAATAAACATGCATTATGCCATCTTTCAGCCTCTCTGTGTATACACACATGTATCACCCTTTTTAGTTTACCTTCATGCCACATCACTATCCCTGTATTTTTCTTCTTGTCCTTTTTTGGGACATTCTTCCTCTGCTCTGATTTGTCCTTTTTTAAAGTACTGTGATCAGTACTACATACAACAATTGTGATTATTCGGTGTTCTTAGCAGGAACTGGGAGTATTTTTGGGTCTACATATAGTATTTTGAGGTTGAAGTATAGTGTTAAAGCCATGTTTGCCTAAGATTCATCCAAAAAATATATTAACAGGACAGAAAACTTTCCACGTAAACTGTTGGACGATAGGTTGGTACTTCAATTACTAAATATTTATATGTATATATGGTGTGTGTGTTTTTATAAATTTTATATATATATAAAATGTGTTTTTTTTGTATCTTATATATCTGTATCCATTGTCTCTGCTTATAACAGATAACATAATTTTGTTCAGAACCAGCCTTAAAAGTAATCACTCAGAAATGTTATGTTTGTACACCTTGATTGCTATCTGATTTTTGTACTTTGGTACAAAAAAAGGCGTTATTTGATAACAACGGTGTTCAGAGAGCAGAGTTCAGTGACTCCTTTTAGCTCTGATATCACTTAAAGAGATTTTTACATTTATTTACTGTTAACCTAGTTCATATTGACAATTTGTTTCAGGATAACTTATTCATTTGACCTCAGCCACCACTCTCATATCTTGTTTGCAGTTATGTAGTAAACCATTGTTCATGAATAGTGAAAATGTCATCCTGTGGTGAGGTGACATTTGTGTATATCGTGGCACAATAAAGTTTTACTGCTACTAAACTATTGGAATCAAGTTGAACTGACTCAATTAATTTAGAGCTTTTTTCTTTTTCTTTTTTTACCTAGGGAATATTAGTGCTTGAATAAGTTGTGTATTTAATTTCACTTGTGATTACATAAGTGGGCATCTTTATTATATCTTATGGTTAGGTACTTTAATATAGTTAACTGAAGAATTATAGGTAATATAGCACTATGCAGAGGGAACTATTTTAAATCATATATATGTCTATATAAATAAAGTGAGAAAGAATGTTTTATCCCTCTTTTATAGATGAGGGAACTGAAAAGTACAAAAAGATTAAGTAACTTGCCAAATTCTATACAGCTAGTAACTGATGAATTTAGGAATCAAACCAGTTCAATTTACTTATTTTTCTTAACTGAAGTACTGTCAGTTAGTGTATCAATTTCTGCTGTACAGCACAATGTCCCAGTCATGCATATACATACATG